TAACTCTAGACATAAGTACTAATAGTAATCTTAGTATAGTTTCTAAACGAACTAACGATCTTATAATAATTAAAATAATAATTATTAAAGTACTATTTATAAATAATATAGAGGACTTATAAACTTTAGTATTATTAAACGCAAAGAACTATAATAAAAAAAGGATTTTAAATATTATAAGTATAATAAGTTAGGATATATAACTAGAGACTACCGATGATTTAAGTATATTTAATATTAACTTATTTTAAAGAAGCAAGCTAATATTATAAATAAAAAAGTCCCTTATAAATAATTTTTATAAATAGCTTATTATAACGACGACTATTTTACTTATTAAAATAGTAAAAAATAAATAAAATAATACTTAAAATAATTTAAAAATAGCGGACGTTTTAGGTATAATATTATTATATTTTCATTAAAACTCTAATAATAGTAATAAAAAAAGAATACCCGCTTATTAACCCTATACTTTTAAAAAAAAATAATCTCGAATATATTATTATATTTTTTTAAATTTATAAAAATATAAAAAAAAAAGCTAAAATAGACCCCGTTACAAAGGATACACTTTATTTTTTTAAGGAACGAATTAAATAAAAACGCTTAGCTAGAACGAGAGAATAATTTTTCAAATTTAAAAAAAGAGGACTTAATATAAAAATAATAAATAGCCTCGTTTATATAATATAACGAAATAATATAAATTAAAAATAATTTATTAAGTTAAAAAAGAACTTAATTTAGATAAAATCCTAACTAAGTTTATTTATATAATAAAACGGGTAAACATTAATAAAAGATTTATTTATAAAATTACGAAGTAGCTTAAGGACCTCGTATATAAAAATAAGATTAAAGTATTTAAAAAACTAACTTTTAACTTTAGAATTATAAAAAAAAAAATTAGTTTTAATTTTAAAAAAAAAAATATTAAAATAAGAACTAGTTCTTTTTATTTTAATAAAATAAAATTATTTTATAATTTAAACGAACCTCATAATATTACTTAACGATATATCTAAATAGAGATTAATTATAAGATATTACTTAATATTAATAATATTAGTTTTAAAAAGGATAATAACGAACTATAATATAAATATATTTATTTATTTAAAGATAACTAAACTATTTAATTTTATAAAACTAAAGAATATAAAAAAGTTACGATAACCCCTTATATAAATAAAAACTATTTTTTACTTAACCCCGAGGACCTTTTTTATAAAGAATTATTTTAAATAGAATATTTAAATAATAAATACTTTTAGTACTTTATATATAGTTAAAATAGCCGTTTTTATTTATAAAAATATAATAATAAACTTATTAAGAATATTTATATTAAAAATTAATTACTTAGCTAGACGTTACTAAGTTTTAATAGTAATAATAAAGTAATATTTAGTTTAGACCTTAACTTTTTTATAGAATATTTTAATAATAAATATATAAAATAAGAAAATTATAAATATAATTAATATTAAGTTTATTATATTAAAAAGGCTAAGGTATAGAGAGAATAATAAGAACTATATAAATAAGGTATTTAATAAAAAAAGCGTATATTAAAAAACTAAAAAAGCTAATTATAAAAGAATAATAAGAAGCGAGAATAAAAAAAAAGTTCTTATATATAACTAAATAACATAATAACATATATTTATAAATTAATTTTAATATTTATAAACGAGGACTAAATGTTATTATTAATAATAGCGTATAAGAAACTTATATTTTATTAAGAATAGTAAATAAACTTAATTTATTATAAGTATAAAAAATAATTTATATTAATTATAAACGGTAAAAGGAGAACGAGTTAATTACGATTATAAATATATTAATTAAAAGATTATATATTTTTTAATATATATTAATAATTAATAAAAATAATTATAGTACGATATTATAGAAATTAGAAATATTAATATTATTTTAAGAATCTTATAATTATAAAAATATAATTTATAAATAGATTAGATTACTAATTAGGTCTTCTAAAAAAATCTAGTTATTAAATAATTTAAAAAAAAAAGGGTTTAAATAGATTTTTAATAGTTTTTAAAAAACGAGAATAAATATAATATATAGCTTTTATTAAAATAGTAAAAAGATTTAAAAATTTTGTATATAATATTAATAATTAAGAATCGTAATAACTCTAAATTATACTTAAAAAGTATTAAATATATACGAAATTATTTATAAAACCCGAGGAAATAAGATTATTAAAATATAATAACTAAGATATAAAAATTAAACTTAAAAAAGAAACGTAATTTAAGTTCTATTTAATATACTTAATAAATTAAGAAAAATAAGAATATTCTAATAAATATATTAATAAGAAGCTTAAAAAGGGATATATTTAATTATCGAATTCTCTTATAAAATTCCCTTTATTTTTTAAATTAAAAAAGGGTAAGAAATTAAGACTTATTATTAATTATAAAAAACTTAACGAAATTATAAAAAAGAATTACTATTTTTTATTATTTATTACTAAACTTAGAGATCTATTTTATAGAGCTAACTAGTTTATTATTATAAATTTTAAAAAAGTATTTAACTAAATTTAAATTTAAAAAAAAAAAGTAAAAAGAAAACGGTATTTTAAACTTATAAAGGACTTTTTAAATACCTTTTTATACTCTTTAGACTTATTAATATTTTAATAACTTTTTAAATAATAATTAACTAGGTATTCTAAGAATACGTCGATATTTTTATTATTATTTATATTAATAATATCCTTATTTTCTCCCTTAACCTCGAAATATATAAAAAATATATTTATAGAGTATTTTAAAAGCTTTAAAACGCTAAACTATATACTAAACTTTTTAAGTATAAGTTTTATATATAAAAAATAAATCCTTTTAGGGTCCGGTCCGCCTTATTAAGGGCTATTTTCGCCTTTATAAATAAGCTAGTTTATTAAGGTTAATATTAAGTATTTTATTACGTACTTTAATAAGACTTTATAACTAATTATAACTAGCCGTAGCTATTACTAAATACTAATAATCTTACCGTAATATATTAATTACCCTCTAAATAACTAAAAACTACCCCCTACTATTTACTTTTTTTAATAATACTAGATTTTTCTTTTTAATCCTTCTTAATTTATTCTTACGTAGCGATTTTGAAATATTAATAATACTTAGGAGTTAGTTAGGTATTTTAAGGCTATTATATTATATAAGCTAAGTATTAATTATAATGATAGTTATATTAATATACCGTTTTTTAATTTTTAAGTTAATAATATTTAAGCCGTATTTTTTAAAACGATTATATTATAGTTCGGGGTCCTTTAGTATAATACTTATAAGATCGAACTTCTAGCCCTTAAAGCATCCTTATAGATTAATAAGTTAGCGTCTCGGTATTTTAATAATATATATTTAAAATAGACGATTCGATAATAATAGTAATAGGGTAATAATAAAAAATAGTAAGGGAAGTAGCGTTTTTTAATTTTAATAAAAGAAACGAGGTAATAAATATGTATATATATATATATATATATAGTAAATATTAATAATAAGACTTATAGAGGTTAATATCGTTCTTAATAATAATAACGAGGGCATTTTTAATACTACCGTTATAAGCTACTATTACTTAGAAAAATAGCTAGCTTAGCTAGGTACGTAGTAGGCTTATAAAGTAATAGCGTTAAGCGTTTAATATTATTATTAATAATCTATAGTTATAAGCTTTACAAGAGGGAAAGTTAAAAAAATAGAAAATCTAAAAAAATAGTTTATTAAAATAGTAGGAGTATTTATTAATACTATATATTAATATTATATAAATAAATTAAAAATCGCCCGAGTAGCTAATAAAAATAAAATAAAATAAAGAATAAATTTTTTTTAAAATATATTATTATACTAAAATAAATTTATATATAAGTATTAAAAATAGAAGTAATTAAAAATTAGCTTATATTATAAAACGTTAAAAATATATAAGGATTTTTAAGATTTATTAACTTTTATTAACGATTTTTTAAAAACTATATTAATATAATTAAACTTTTTAATAATTTAATATAAAAAAATAACTTATTAATTTAATACCCTAAGTACGAAAAATTATTTATTAAAATTAAGAATATAGTCGTTTTTAAATTAGTTATTATAATCCCAGACCCCTAAAAACCTTTTAAAGTCGAAATTAACGCTTTGGATTTTACTATAAGAGTAGTCCTAAGATAATAAAATAAATAAAAAAAGCTTTATTTATATTATTTTTATTTTAGAGCGTTTTCTAAAATAAAATTAAATTAGTAAATTTATAATAAAAAACTAATAATAATTATCGAAGTATTTTAAGAATAGAGATTATAATTATTTAGAACTAAGTACGAAGTTATAGTTAATATAAATTATAAAAACTTCGTAAATTTTATAACAAATAAGAATTTAAATAAATAATAAGTTAAATAGAGCGAATTCTTATTTAAATATAACTTCCGAATTATTTATTAAAAAAGTTTAGAAAATAGTAGAGCGGACGCTTTTAATAAAAGACCTAATTACGAAGTCGTAGTTTTTAAAAAAATATAAGTTATTTTTAAATAAAAAAAGGACGGTAGTTTTATACTTATTATAAAACTTTTTATAATAATTAAAAAAATTAATACTAGCCCGATTAAAAAAATAACCCCTAAGCTTATTATAGAAATTTATAATATATTAGTATATAGTTACTAAGGGGTTATTAAAACGTAAAAACGGATTTATTAATATTATAATAAATCTATTATATATATTAAAATTATAAAAGTAATTAAGGACTATACGACTTATAAAAAAAATAAACATAGTTTATATAAACCTTATAGCGAGCTATAATTATTATAATTATTGATAAAAATATAGTAATTAATTATATAGGACTTTATTATTAAATTATTAAAATTTAGAAAACTATTTATTAAAGTATAGTATAATAATATTTTAGTTATAGTTAACTAACTTACTAAGTTCGCCTATTTTAATTTTTATAAAAAATTAAATATTATAAAAAACTTAGTAAATATATTTATTAAAGTTATATTTTTAAACTACGGCTTATTAAAAGAATTTATTTCTAATAAAAATAAGCTATTTATTTTAAAATTTTAGAAATCCCTAATTTCGTAATTTAGTATAAATTATAAACTATCGATATTACTTTATTTATAAACTAATAAATAAATAGAAAAGATTAATTAGATCCTCGAAATATACTTCTATTATTATATAAACTATAATTAGAATAACTAGGTAATATTTTTATTAATAGTTTAGTTTATATATAATAACATAGTTAATTAAAATACGAGAGAATTTCTATTTTATTTTAATTATAGATTTTAACTAACTATATATAGAGAAATATAATAAGGATTATAAACTATAAAAGCTATAATAAATATAAATAAATTTAAAAAGATTTATAAATAAGCCTTATTAAACCTTAAATTTGTATAATAGTATATAAAAAAGAACGTAGATAGATTAAAAATTAAAAAACTATTTTTAAAAAAAGGAAATAGCGCTTATTTTTTTTATTATAATATTAAAACGAAATAATTAAGTAATAAATTAAATTATTAAAGACTTAGACTTTTTAAAATTATTAAAAAAGTTTTATTAGTTAATTACGGATTAAGATTACTAAATATAATATAATACTATTCCGTTTTTTATATTTTATTATTTAAACCTATATTAAGAAGTTTATATATAAAAAATTATATTATTATTAAACTAAACTAATTAGAATACGAAGTTAAACGGATTATTAATTATAAAATAAAAAATAATAAAAAGGAATATTTTATTAAATAGAAGGGCTATAAATATAAAAAAAATATATAAGGACTAATTACGAACTTCTAATACTCTTAAGAACTTTTATAAAATTATTATAATAACTAAGAACGTTAATATTTAATATTAATAGCCCTAAAGAGGTAAACTCGTTACTAATTTTAAAAAAAGTTTAGTTAATATTATTAAAAACACTTATTATTTAAAGATCGCTTATTACTTACTGCTTATAAATATTTAATATAAAAAAAATATAATCCTCTTTTTTTAATTTTTATATATTTTAAATAAAGGTTTTAATATACTATTTTATTATTATTCTTTTAAATAGTCCGAATTTTAGTTAAATAGCTAGCTACCTCTACGATTTTAGACTAAATTTAAATAAGTTTCGTATAAAAGTTAAATAAGGTATTATTAGTTTTTTTTTTTTTAAAAAAAATCTTAACGCTAATTACTTAGCTTTTTTATTATAAAATATTAATAAAATTATAAAAATAAAAAAACTATAATAATACTTATAATTTAATCTAATAATAAGACTATTATAAAAGCGCTTTAGATTTTTATAATTTTAATAAGTCTTCGATCCCTTAACTATATAATACGCACGTTTTATATAAAAATATTAAATATAAAGTATTATATTATTAAAACTTAAGCGATTAAATACGTTATTATAAGCTAAATAAAGCTTAGAAATAGAATTACTTAATAAACGTTTTTTAATACGACTTAATATTATATTAATATATTTTTAAAAAATATATTTAATAAATCGTTAACCTAGGAATAGATAACCTATTTATAAATTTATAGGACTAGATTTTTTAAAAAAAGACTTGATATTATAATTTTATATATATAACTAAAACTATAGCCCGCTTTATAAACTCGTAACAGTTATAATATATTAAATATATAAAGATATAAGAATATAAAATAACTCTTATAAAATAAAAGAACTATAAAATAAGTTACGTAATAATAAAAAATAAAAAAGTCCGTATATTAAGGATACGGACCCCGTTTTCTTTTAAAATACGGAGCTTATTTGTTTTTTTAATTTGTTTTTTATTCTGCCTTTACTAGCTACTCGGGTAGTTCTTAATATTATCTATATAGTATTAATATATAGTATTAATAAATACTCTTACTATCTTAGTAGACTATTTTTTTAGATTTTCCTTAACTTCCCCTCTTATAAAGTTTATAATATAACTACGGATTATTAATAGTAATATTAGGTGCTTAACGCTATTACTTTATAAGCTACCTACTTAGTTAAGTTTATAGCCCCTCTAGGTAATAATAGCTTATAATAGTATAGTATCGGAGATACCCTTGTCGCTATTATTAAGAATAATACTAACCTTATTAATATACGCTTTTAACTTTGACTCGTATATATATATATTCGTTACCTCGTTTCTTTTATTAAAATTAAAAAACGCTACTTCCCTTATTATTTATTGCTATTACCCTATTACTATTGCCCTATTACTATTACTATTATTATTACTATCGAATTATCTACCTACTTTTAAATATATACTATTAAAATACCGAGACGCTAACTTATCGATTTATAGGGATACCTTAAGGGCTAGAAATTCGATCCTATAAGTATTATATTAGAGGACCCCGAATTATAGTATAATCGTCTTAAAAAATACGAATTAGATACTATTAACTTAAAAATCAGAAATATCGATATAGCTATTACTATAATTAGCGCCCAATTTATATAATATAGTAGCCTCGAAATACCTAACCGACTCCTAAGTATTATTAATATTTTAGAATCGCTATATAGGAATAAATTAGGAAAGATTAAAAAGAAAAATTTAGTATTATTTAAAAAGGTAAAAAGTAGGGGGTAGTTTTTGGCTATTTAGAGGGCGATTAATATATTACGGCGGGGTTATTAGTATCTTAAGTTTAGTTAGTATTAATAGTTAATAACGGCTATACCGGCTATTATTAATTAATATGAAGTCTTATTAAAATACGTAATAGAAACTCGATATTAACCCTAATAGACTAGCTTACCCGTGAAGGCGAAGATGGCCCCTAATGAGGCGGGCCGGACCCCAAAGGGAAGGTAATAGCTATATTAATATACTTCTTTTTAATTTTTAAGTTAATAATATTTAATCCGTATTTTTTAAGACGATTATACTATAGTTTAAGGTCTTTTAATATAATACTTATAAAATTAAACTTTTAATTATTAAAAAAGTCCTAAGGGTTAATAATAACTAAGTATCTTAGTATTTTAATAAATAAGTAAACGATTTAATAGTAATAGTAATAGGGCAATAATAATAGAGTAATAGTAATAAATAGTAAGAAAAGCGGTTTTTAATTTTAATAAAAGAAACGAAGTAACGAATATATATATATATATAAGTTAAAATTAAAAATATTAAGGTAAATATCGTAAGGTTAATATTATTCTTAACGATAGTAATAAGGGTATTTCCGATATTATTATTATAAACTATAATTACTTAAAAAAATAGGGAACTTAGCTAGGTACGTAGTAGGTTTATAAAGTAGTAACGTTAAGTACTTAATATTGCTATTGATAATTTATAGTTATAAACTTTATAAGAGGGAAAGTTAAAAAAGTAGAAAATTTAAAAAAATAGTTTATTAAAATAGTAAGAGTATTTATTAATACTATATATTAATATTATATAAATAAATTAAGAACCGCCCGAGTAGTTAATAAAGGTAAAATAAAAAATAAAAAATTTTACTTTTTTAACTTTCCTTTTTATAAAGTTTATACCTATAGCTAAATATATTATTAATAATAATATTGAATACTTAACGCTACTACTTTATAAGCTCGTATACTTAGCTAAGTTTATTACCCCTCTAGGTAATAATAGCTTATAATAATAATATTAGAAATACCCTCGTCGCTATTATTAAAAAATAATGCTAACCTTTATAAGTATTAATATCTATTATATATATATATATATATATATTCGTTACTTTATTTCCTTTATTAAAATTAAAAACGCTTCCCTTATTATTACTATTATTATTACTATCTAACTATTTATTTTAAATATATTTTATTAAAATACCGAAATATTAATAGCTTATCGACCCTCAAGGCTTTTTTAATAATTCAAAGTTCGATCTTATAAGTATTATACTAAACGACCCCGAGCTATAAATCAACCGCTTTAATAAATACTATATTCGTAGTATTAACTTATAAAAAATTAATAAGTATATTATAATAAGTATTACCCTTATTAATACTTTTTTAATATAATAAAATATAAATAAGCTTAGATTTAATAATATAATTAAGAGCTTAGAAAGAGCGTAAATAAGCGTATTAAATAAGAATATTAATAAGTAGAAGTTATTATTAATTAAAATAAAAAAAGAAAGTAAGGGGTAGTATTTAGTTATTAAAAAGGCGATTAATATATTATAATAGCGGGGTTATTAGTATTTAGTAATAGCTACTGCCGGATATAGTTAGTTATATTTTATTAAGTACGTAATAAAAACTCGATATTAACCCTAATAAACTAACTTATTTATAAAAGTAAAAATAGCCCCTAATAAGGTAGACCGGACCCTAAAGGGTTAAAGATCTCTATATTATAACTAGTTTATATAAACGGCTATATAATTAATAAATTCTAAATTTAATATCTATACTCGTAAATAATATCTTATTATTAAGGAGCCTCTTATTAAATAGCCTCTTATTAAGTAGCTTATTATTATTAAATAAGTAATTTAAACTACCTCGTAAAGCTACGAACCTAGCCCCGTAGTTAATAAGGGTAAGTATTTATTATAACTAGTTAATATTTAAATATAATATCCCTTTAGGGTCCGGTCCGCCTCATTAGGGGCTATCTTCGCCTTTATAAGCAAGCTAGCTTATTAAGGTTAATATTGAATAACTTTATTACGTACTTTAATAAAACTTTATAATTAACTATAGTTAGCTATAGCCGTTATTAACTATCGATACTAATTAAACTTTAAATACTAACGATCTTATTATAATATATTAATCGCCTTATTAATAATTAAATACTACTCCTTACTTTCTCCCTTTATCTTATTTAAAAATAACCTCTCCTTAATATTCCTATTTAATACGCTCGCTTATACTCTTTTTAAGTTCTTAATTATATTATTAAATTTAGGCTTACTTATACTATTCTATTATATTAAAAGGGCACTAATAAAGGTAATATTTATTATAATATATTTATCTATTTTTTATAAGTTAATATTACGAATATAATATTTATTAAAAC